GCCTGCAGTGGACCTGCCTGGGACTGCTGCCTAGGTAAAATCAGGGAGAAGAAATTACAGGGCTAGAAATACAGTGACCCAGCCTGATAATTTCCAGTAAAACAAAGACCCCCACCCAGAGATTTCTGTCAGTCATAACCAGAACTGTGGAGATCACCCACTCTCCTGGAAATCACAGAACCTGGAGTTGGTGACCTTTGAAAATCCATGGCCTGACTTCATTAACCTCAGAGTGTCTGAGGCTTCGGCAGTGATACTGGCAAGGGCTGGGCCGCTTTTTGCCCCAGCTTTGTGTTGCCAACCTTGAAGCCAGAGAGGAATGAGAAGGAGGTCTTCTCCATACAGAGCACTGAGACGGGGATTATGAGAAGTTAGAGGTGACTCCCTTAAGGGACAGTGATCACCCTGTCACTGGGAAACTTGCAAGACACCACCATCAGTGTAAAAGCATTGTTTCCTCCTTTCTTAGATGAGGCCAGTTCCAGAGTCCAGACTGACAGAGTGACAGCCTTTCCCACCTGGCTTTTGACAGAGCGGGGCAGATGGGATGTCTCACTTGGCTCACGCCACACTCAGAGTTACATCTGAAGGCTTCCACAGTGGCCCAAGATGCCCTGAGTGATATCACTTCCCACTTAACCCCACCTCACCTTCTGCCACTCTCTACTTGCTCACTACACTTGAGCCACACCAGCCCCTCACTGTTAGGTTGCACATGTGCCTCAGTAGCTCCTGCTGCAGGGAATCTGCACTTGTTCCTTCTGCCTTGTACTCTGCCTGGAATGGGCCCCCTCCACACTCTTTACCCTCACACGCTGCAGGAACTGCTTCCCTCTCCTCTTTCTGTATCTCGAGACATGCCTTTTACCCTTTTGCTCTTCAACACTTTGCCTCGCTTTATTTTTCCTCACAGCAGTTACCTCCATCTGAATTGATGGATTTGTTTGCTCGATGTCTCTCTCTCCAACCCAGAATGTAAGCCCTTCAAGGGGCTCTAACAGAGCTCAAAGGTGCTCAGTATATGCCTATTAATTGATAGGAGCAGACACAGTGCTTCTCCATCTGCCTTGGACAGTCAGACACAGTCTTCTCTGGGTCAATATTTCTTCCTTTCTTTCTTCAGAGGGAAGCCTGGAGCCACAGATAGAGGACCTGATTAACCGGATTAATGAGCTTCAGCAAGGTAAACTTGGGGACCTAGACTGGCCAGCAGGGGCCAGCAGGAAGGGCCTGGATTTGTAATGAATCGACCTCCTCATCTATAAAACCTAGGACCCTCTAGGGCTGTTTGCAGATGAATATGCAATGTCATATTTGCGAGTGAACAGCAAGGCTCGAAACTACACTCACACAGTGTCTTCTTCCCTTTGGTCTAGCAAAAAAGAAATCCAGTGAGGAACTGAGAGACACCCGCACTCTCCAGGAGGCCCTTCATAGAGAATTAGACTCCTGTAAGTGGGGCCAAAGAAGGACCCATCAACACTGCAGATGTTCCTGTACACACCTCAGGGCCTTTGCACAGGCTGTTCCCTTGCCTACAATGCTCTTAGCCCACACAATCTGTATTGCTTCTCACTGTCTCATGCCATCTTTCAGCTCTCAGCTCAAACTTCACCCTGACAGGCCTATCTAGATGGTCTCATCTAAGAATAGGATCCTGCCCTCTCTTGGTCATTCTCACTCCCCTGCCTGATTTGTTTCTTAAGAGCCTTTATGTCCACCTGACATGATGTGTGTACATCATCTCTCTCGTCAGTGTAAACCTTGTACATTCTTCAGGGTCTTCACTCCTTCAGCACTTACAGGGAGTGTGGGCATGTGGGGGAGAAGCTGGTCCTTGTGGGAGATGGTTGCAAGGGAGGCAAGAAGATACCTCATGTCTCCTGGGGCTGTACTACACCTTCTGTGTGGCTTTCCCCTTACGTGAAGTTGCCATGGAGATGGACATGCGGGTGCCTGGAGGCTGAAAGTGTTGTTGTGTTTTTTAGTGAATGGAGAGAAGGTGCACCTGGAGGAGGTCTTGAGCAAAAAGCGAGGTATTTACCAGTTGCTGTGTCTTCCTCATTCTACTCATCCACCCCACAAAAGTCCATACTCCTCAGATCAGCCAGAGGAATCCCACTGAATCCTAACTCAGGCGGAAGCTTCCCTCTCTGCACAAATCTCTCCCTGAGTTGCTACCTTACTTGCAGTAAACACCCAGGTCTTCACAGTGCCCTCCAATGCCTTACATGATGTGGGGCCCATTACTTCTAGCCAACCCTGACTCCCCAAGAGCTTTCAAGGGGTCTCGTTGATTCCTTCCCCACAGAGGCACTGAGGATCCTCCAGCGGCACTGCCGAGAGAAGGAAAGTGAGGCTCAGAGGTAAGAGGCACTGCCTCAGCTCTTCCCCACCTCATTCCCCAGCTGAAAAAGGAGGGAGCAAGAGCTATGGAAATGAATCTTGGACATGGCTCATTTTCCCTTTCTATAAAATAGAGCAGCTAGACAAAAGATTTCCTTGGTTATCTCTGATATTAAATGGTCGTGTTAAGATTAATTTACTCATTTAATTATTCGTTACTAATTTCTTCATCAAACATATTCCATCCACTGGTGTTATTCTGTCTGTCTCTGCTGGCTGTCCAGCTCCTTCTGGACCCATGCACTTGATTATTTGTCTGCTTATTTTAGGCCCCAGTCATCCATTTGCCACCCATTCATCTACCACCCATCTAGCCATTCACCTATGCACTCATTCATCCATTCATCCATCTATCCAACTACCCAACCCTATCATCCATCCAGTTGGCCATTTGATCTCCAGCCTTCCACTTTATAATCTTCCATCCATCCACTCATGCGTTCATCCTCTCTATTCTTCCCATAGCCATTCATTTCTTCACTCAACCATCCAGACATCAATCCTTTCTTCTAGCAATCCTTTATTTCTCTCTCCAGCCACTATTCCTCTACTCATCATTTCTCTAATCAGCTATCGTCTCTCCAGCCAGCAACTCACACATCCAATCAACTGTCCATCCAACCACGTATTCATCCATCTCTTCATCCTCTGAACCTTTACTTAGCACATTCCTGTTACCAGAGGTCTCACATCCTGGTGCACCATAACTTTAGTTGCATGGAGAAACCTGATGTTAGCTAACGTGTGTATACCTAACCATGCTACTTACACTGTCTGATGAGCATTTATGTACCTAATCCTCATTATGACAATTATAGGAGTTAAGGGCTAATGTCACCCTCCCATCACTACCACTATTTTACATATGAGGAAACAGAGACCCAGAGAGGTTAAGTAACTTGCTCAGGGTCACAGTGAAGTAGCAGATCAGGCTTCAAGCCAGGATGTTAGAATCTGTGGTGCCAAACTACTACACCCCTCACAAAGCTTTCCTGGGAAGCCAGGATTCATTCCATGGAGGACAGGATGGACAGGGTGATGTTCTCAACAGAAGCCCATGAAGGTTCTCATTTAACAGTAGAAAAGTGAAAGGTGAATGTTGTGAGCAGATATCCCAACTCCCACTCCTACTGGAGTGAATGATGGGTCATTCAGTGAATATGATTGAGGGTTGTCTTTCCCTTCCCAGGAAGCACATGTTGCAAGAGTGCATTGAACAAAGTTTTGTCCATACCTTTCAGATTTCAGAGTCCCAAACAGAGGAATGCGTGATAATTCCCAAGCCTGGGGCCTGGCAAGCCACTGCATAGAAAGTGGGGGCAGGGCTTGCATCAGGGTGGGTTTGTTGGAAGAGGTGCTACAGGAACCAAAATTTCGAGGATAAAACCCATGAAGGGGCTCCCAGCAGAGGAAGCATGGACAGGATCTGCAGGCCTGTGCCTGAGGCGCTCCCTTCAGGGTGTAAGGCCTAGCATGTGTTCATTCTCTCATTCCTGGATGTCGGCCTCCAGGTTGGATGTCAGAGGAGAGCTGGAGGATCTGATGGGCCAGCACAAGGACCTCTGGGAATTCCATGTGAGCTATTATCGCCTCCAGCCAAAGCCACTCCTCCCCTGGCTTTAGTGTCCCACTGACTGGCCCAGCGTCCACCCCTGCCCAGGCCCAATGCCGCGGGATAGTCCTTGATTCCTTGCTTCCTCTTGCCCACCTTCAGTCCCTCGGCTTTTACCTGAAATCAACTTACATCTCACCATCCTCTACTGTCAAAACCAGCATCACCTGCTGGTGCAGTAGCCATCGTGATCCTGCTTTCCCCCTGCTCACCTAGAGTATGTTCACCTTGCAGTGGCAAATGGCAGCCCAGAGAAAGCCATGATCAGGTCATTCCTTCATTCAGCTACTGTCAGTGGCTGCACCAGGCAGCATTTGAGGCAGGGAGAGAGGGTGGCAGACCAAAGGGGCCACGTCTTTACTGTCCCGAGCTGGGTGGGGACAGTGGGGACATACCCATACTCCAACCGAGGAAGTAAGTGGCTAGATCGTGTAACATCAGTGGAAAGGCGTCTAAGCAAGTGACATCTCAACTCAGTGGTGAAGGAAGGGAGGGAAGAAACCGTGCAGGTATCTGGGTGCAGAAGCAAAGGCCCTGAGGCTGGACTGTGCCTGAAACCTTTGAGGGACGCAGATTGGGGAGTGGAGGATGAGGACAGTGGGAAGAGTTCAAGTTTGGTAAGTGCCTGGAAACATGGAGAGCAGTTAGGGGGAGGTGAGTGGGTCTCCAGCCACAGCAGAAACTGCACCTTGAGTTAACAAATAGTTGAATGAATGAATGAATGAATGACCTAATGCAGGTGAAGACTTAAGTGAGAAGCACAAAGGGGGAGGGGCGGGCCGTGTAGCCTAGAGGAAAGCCAGACCTGCAGGCCTCCTCTTTGCCCTCGCAGATGCTGGAGCAGCGACTGGCCCGGGAGATCCGTGACCTGGAGAGGAGCAAGGAGCAGCTGCTCTCGGAGAGTGAGCTTCCCGCGCCAGGTGGGCGGGAGGAGGAGGACCTGCCCGGCATCCGTCCCGTCCCTGCCCCTGACGCCCGCCCACCCGCAGGAAGGCTGGTGCGCGCCAAGCTGCGGGAGGCGGAGCGGCGGCTGCGCTCGCCCTCTGAGGTCGAGGGCGCCATGGCGGCGGAGGACGGGTAAGAGGGGAAGGAAGGCGTGAGCGAGGTGGGCAGGGGCGAGGAGGAGGGGAGCGGGCCCGGGTCTGCCGCTCCGCCCCCCCCGCCCCTCCCCGGCCGGTGCCTCCCTCGGCGTCGTCGGGTCTCCGCGTCTCGGTGGCTTCCTCCTCTGTCCTCGGCACCTTCTCCGCAGGCTGAGGGCGGAGCTGGAGATATTCGGGGAGCAGGTCCAGAGCGCCCCCGAGGTCCGGGTTGGCCAGGGAGAGGTAGGGAGCCTGGGGAAGGGGGGCTGGGCGGGCGGGGTCCCGGGTGCGGCCCCCGAGAGCGTGTCTGCCGCGAGCCGGGATGCCCCGTGGGCAGAGGACGCCTCGGGAGCTGCATCGCGCGGGCGCGGGCGCACGCGGGGCGCTTGGGAACCCGGGCCGCGGCCTCACCCCGCTTGCCCCCCGCAGGCCGGGCCGGAGCTCCCCGGCGCCCGCGACGAGGAGGACCCGGAGCCGCCGGTGGCTGCCCCCGAGGCCCCCTAGGCTAGCAGGACCCGCCCAGTCCTGACCTTCCCTCCGGACGGTCCAGAGAATAAAAGCGATCATTTCCGACCGTGCTCACGTTCTCCGCGGAGTCTGTGCTTCCCCGTGGGGCGCGGCGCGGCGGGGGCGGGGGCGGGGCGGGGCCTCGGCCGGAACCCGCCCACCAGCGAGCCCCGGGCGCCGGGCCCGCGCTGGGAAAGTGCTCCCGAGCTCAGATAGAGTAGGTGGGTGTCAGGACCCGCCCCACGGCCTCATCTCGAGTTCCCGAACCATCTATGTTGTCAACAGGGGCTAGAGGGCGCGTGTTAACCCATGCGGGTTGTGGGGGCCTGTGCGTCTCCGGTGATCTCTGGAAACCCGCGCTGGCTCTGGGACCTGCCCGCCCACCTGAGCTCCCCTCACATATTGGGGTTCTAGCTAAGGCTGCCTCTCCACCCTTCTCAAGCACTCCAAACACTGTCCCCTCGGGGCCTTTGCCCTGCTGGTCCTCGTGTGGGGTCGCAGCCGCTAGGCCTCCTCAGGGCATCTGTACTCGCCTCACCTGTTAAATGTGTCCACCACCCCGGAGCGCGGCCTTGGGAACCCCACTCCAAAGGCGCTCGGCACCAGGCTGCTGCCCTTGACTGAGCATGTATTGACTAAGCAGGCATTTGCCGATTGCCTGCTGGGTGTCAGGCACTGTTGTAAACCCTGGATTTTAAACAGCGCGGTCAGCGAAGGCCTCACCTAGAAAGTGGTATCTGAGCAGAGAAGCCAGGGAGTGAGCCCTGTGGGCGTCTGGGGAACGGTGCGCCTGGCAGAAGACATGCCTGCTGCCAAGGCCGTGAGGTGAGGCTGCACTTGGCTGTGTTTGAGGAGCCTTCTGGAGGAGGCTGGTATAGGAGTGGAACGAGGTAGACCAGGAGGAGAGACGACACTGGAGAGTTGCCAGGGACCAGTCAAGCTGGGTCCTATCTAATGTGTGTAGAAGAGGACCGGGCGCGCAGTAAATACTCAGTGAATGTCAGCTCTCACATACAGTTGTGATGATTCAGTATTCCCAATCCCTAGAGAGCGGGACCTGAGACCTGTGACTCATTTAGATCAGAGGCTTCTCTCCATTAAGTGAAGAGTAAGTGGTTCATATGATTTATTATTATTGTTCCCAGGCTACAGATGAGAAACACCAAGGTGTGTGTTATCTCTCAGAACAGAAATTTTTTATGCAATAAATGCCGAATAAATCGTATCTTTTATTATTTTCACTATGATTCTTGTTGTCATTCCCAATTTAGAGATGAGGAAAACTGAGACAGTGAATCTGTACAGTCAGCCCTCAATAAATGTGGGTTGCCATTATTATCCCAGGTCCACAGATTAGGTCCAGGGAGCTTTATTTCCTGAGTCAGTCACCACTCACACCCGGGCACAGCTGACTCCAGGCCCAGGCAGTGATCCCCCGACTCACTGACACTACCTGCTTGCTAAGGCCAGTCTCCAGGAATCTCCAAGGAACCTCAGCATCTTCTTCTGTCATCCTCTCTGTCACACAAATGGGGTCAGCCTGGATCTTCTGCTGACTTAACACTGTGCACCTAGGGTTCAAGTCCTGGTTTCCCTGTTCACTAGCGGGATGCTCTCAGGCAAATTGCTTAATGTCTCTAAAACTCAATGACCAAATTTGGAAAACGGTGCTGCCCTCTGTACAGAACTTACTATAAACCTGGCTAACCCCTCACTTCCCGGAACATGTCCTTTGGGTCCCTGGACAAGCTAAATCGTATATAGAGATTAGTGGTACACCGAGTCATCTCATGCCATTCAGATGGATAAATCCATTTACCCACGTCCCTTCACAATGTTGCGGAAGTCAGTAAATGCTGGATGCAAGGTCATTCATGACCTGGTCCACACCTTTCTTTCCTTTCTCATCTGTCTCTGCCTCTGTCCACTCCTACTTAGAAGCCTGGTAAACACCAAACTGCCACTGCCCACATGATGTTACTTTTGTTCATACCGTTTCCTCTGGTTGGAACACCCTTCTCAGTATGCTTTGTCTGAGTAAATATTACTTGCATGAAATCCAGAGCTGGGATAAGACATGCAGAGTATTCCCACAGACATGTTCATGCCGTATTACCAGTGATGTGTCACTTCACTTGTATTTACTGAGGGGTATCATGTATTAACCTTCATTATTTTAGGAATGTCTTATCCATGATCTTGCAGCCAGTGCCTGGGACAGCCAATAGGCCACCCTAGGTGAGTCCTACCCCATGCTACAGTGGATGCATTCAAAATGGCCAATTTGGGGACTTTGAGCGTTAATAAGTAATAGCGAGAGAGGCAAAGGACTTACCTAGGTGGGAGAAACTAAAAAGACAACAGCCTCTACATTGAATCACAAAACTCCATGATGATACTCATTAAAATAAAAGGAAAAGGAACAAACTTTTTATTTTTCTTACAGCCGAGTAATAGCCAATCAGTGAGAAAGGAAAGAAAGAATTGAAAGATCACCATTTTGTAATCCACAATGAAGCAGTTGGTTCATCAGTCAATGAATGGTTGGTGGTTGCTAACACCACTGGGGGAAAAGCTATTAAGGGGCAGGATAATCACACATTCTCAAAGTTTTATCCTGCGTTGTCTTTATTAACTCCAAAGGGGGATGTGCCTTAAGGTGGGGAGATTGGGGAGCTACCACCTGATCCAAGGGCCAAGTTGTAGAACAGTCTGACCTTATGTTCCTCTTGACGGCAGGTACACATCATCACCCATGTGGGGTTTTTGATGAAAATATTTAATCAGAGGAAAGAGACACAGTGAAAAGTTCTGTAAGACAATTGTCTTGGACACCTGAACAGAGTCAGAGTCATGAAAAATAAAGGAGACTGGTGTATTAGTCTCCTATTGCCGCTGTAACAAGTTCATACATATTTCATGGCTGAGCAGTACCAATGTATTACCTTACAGTTCTCTAGGTCAAAAGTCTCATTAGACTAAAATCAAGGTGTCATTTGGGCTGCAGTTTTGCATGATCTGGGGGAGAATCATTCTTTAGTTTTTTTATGGCTACCTGGGATCTTTGACTCATTAATCTCTGCTTCCATGGGCACATCTCTTGTGACTCTGACTCTCCTGCATCCCTTTTGTAAGGAACCTTGTGATTACATTAGGCCCACCTAGATAATCCAGGATAATCTCCTCATCTCGTGATCCTTAACTAAATCATATCTGCAAAGTCCCTGTAGTCATATAAGGTCACACCTTCACAGATTCTTTGGAGAAGGATACAGACATCTTTGGGGGTCTATTTTGCCAACCACAGTATGGCACCACTGTTCTTGATCAGGAGAGATCAAAAAAAAATTTTTTTTTTGAGACTGAGTCTTGCTCTTTTGTCAGGCTGCAGTGCAGTGATGCGATTTCTGGTCACTGCAACCTCCGCCTCCTGAGCTCAAGCAGTTCCGCTGCCTCAGCTTCCCAAGTCGCTGGGACTACTGGCGCATGCCACAATGTCTGGCTAATTTTTTTTGTTTTTTAGTAGAGACGGGGTTTCACTATGTTGGCAAGAATGCTCTCCATCTCCTGACCCTGTGATCTGCCCACTTCGCCCTCCCAAAGTGCTGGGATTACAGGCATGAGCCATCGTGCCCGGGCCCTGAACCCCCCGCCCCCAAAATTTTTAATACAATTCATGAATCTTTATTAGAACTTGGAACAAGGGTAGGGGAAACAGCTATAAATAACATTTAAGGGTTTGCAGGGAAATGGACTGAAATTTGGATGATGTTATTGGATTAGTATTTGAATGATAGCAGTGATGCAGTTGATTGGAGAATGTTCTTGATTTTAGGAGATGAGTGTAGAAATAAGTTTCATGTCTGCCACCTATTTTTTGATGGTTTGACAGGGGAAGCTGTGTGCGTGTGTATATACAGAGAGAGGAGAGGATAACGGATGTGGTAAGATGTTAACAGTTGGTGAACCAGGTGTTATTTGTAGGGTTCTTTTGGATGGATTAGAAAAATTTTTTAAAGATTTAGAAACCAATAACAATACTAAGTGATAAATTGGGGCTTATTTTCCATAGTCTCCTCCTATCTGCTAGACCTCCCAGTGAGAGATCTCTGAAATAGCAGACATTGTATTTCATATGAGTACACAGAATTGGATTTGAGAATCTGTCCTCATACCGCAAGCAATGAACACCTCTTCATTCAAAAATTATTTTTCCACAACTGAATTTGCTGGTTTATAATGATCTTAGATCCCAGCCCAAGTCTGCCTTCTTCGTGGGATTTCTTCACTGGTGCTTAGTTCCTTGAAAGTGAGAAAAAGTGCATCTTACGCTCTTAAGGGCTCCTCCTCTCCCCACTTGCCATTGTTTGCTGGGAGATGTTTTCACTCTCTTTTTGGCCGGGAATTTCAGGAATTATAAAGGAAAATGAAGCCTTCCTGGTCTGGAGGGGCTGCCATAGAGAAGCAACTCTACGCTTAGACTCGTGGCCT